AGTTATTATATTTTAACTTTTAACATAAGAACAATCAGCATCTGTATGCATCCACCAAAATAGTGGAATGCATGCAACATTTGTATATTGGTATAGATATATTGTAGGCCTATACATCTGCATAGAGGCATATCACTTACAAATGGACACGTGTTATGTTTTATGAATGATGACAAAACAATATAATAATAGCCTATATTAACAAAATAACACGCAGCATTATCAATAGGCCTACCTGTCAATCACAAGCTCCAGTAAAACAATGTGGGAGTGCTGATTGAATATGTCCTCTCCTTCTATGAAGTCATACTGGTCCAACAGAGCAACCATGTCCAGATTACAGGACAGTTTATCGGGGAATTTCCAGGAGGTAAAGCGCACAGGACCCGTTCGAGAAAACACGTCTAAAATAGCTCCTTGTAGATCCACCAAATCTTTTCGCAGACTTTCAATACAATCCTGGCGGCCCAAGAATTCATTCATGGTGGTTTAAGCGGTTTCTGTCAGCAGAAGATGTGAAAATTCACATCAGGACACATGGATATTACTTGTTGGCCCTCGCCACTAACAAAGTTAGGGGCGAGGGGTATTGGCCCTCGCCACTAACAAAGTTAGGGGCGAGGGGTATTGTTCTTCGCCGGTTTCTTACGTTTGTTTATTATTATTTTTCCTTGCAAACGATCGCGATTTTGACCCCCTGAACATGGACGAAAAGTCCAGATCGATCGGCCCGGCGAAAAATTTGATAAAATGGGCATCGGGACAATGCCCAAAGTGACCTGACTCAACAGCGCCACCTAGAATTGGACCCCTATGGGACTAGGGACAAACAAAGTTTGTCGCAGGGAAACAAAATTCGGAACAGTGATAGAGAACAATGAGACAAACCAAAAGATGAATTGGAGCATGACCCTGTGACGAACAGGAAGTCAGCCATATTGGATCAAACATTCGGCGCCGTTTTGACTTGGGGGGTCTACAAAAAGATTCAAGTCCCCGGGGTTTGGTCCAAATGAGCTCAGATTTGACATGTCACATCTACAGACATGAACTCACAGAAGTTGGCAAATTTTTTTGGGATACTCCTTACGGTTCGCCCGTAGCACGCCGGCGAATAACGCCTTCATTTCCTGTTTTTTCGGTGACCTGTCATGGCCACAGGCATTGTCCTAGAGAACTCAAATTCAAATCACAATTGCGTGATCCAGGCCTGAATGTGATGAAATATGAAATTTAATAAAAGTGAACTCTATAGCGCCCCCTAGCATAGACGTGAAACGTCAACATTATCGGATTAGTACCAAATTCTGTACATAAATTCTATGTATGATTACAAGCAAAAAAGTCTATTACGGACATGATGCATTTTCCACTATTGGCCAGCAGGGGCGCAAAGACTCCCCCAAAAAATAGTTAAAAAATAATTACACACACAGGCTTAGTCCGATCGTGCTGAAATTTGAATCACTAATGCCTGATCACGGCCAGAATATAATACACTATAAAACATATGAAAAATTAACTCTATAGCGCCCCCTACCATAGACATGAAACGTCAACATTTACATGTATGATGTCATCGGCGCCGTGAACCTGATGGAACTGGGAGGTTTTCAGGTTCTAGAATGTGATGATGTCATACTCCCAGACGGGGCAAGAGCCACGTTTCCCTGTTGACTGAGGCCGAGTGTTGTTAAGAAGTCACTGATATGAGACAAACCTCGATACAGTGCGCTTTCGATTCGATACGGTTCAGTAAAAAAATAAAGGCTAAATCATGGAAAATCTTTGTTAAACCACTTCTTGTGCAAAGTTCATATGAAACACAAACATTTTAATCCTCAAAACAGCGAAAATGTCAAACGAGTTTCCTTCCACTAAACAAACAACGAAACTGTAGCTGTAACAAAATCATTTAGTAAAATAAACCAAAAATACTCTTGGTGATATATCGATAGAGCAGCCCACAATATCGATACTGTGTCATCACATTAAACGATACGATATATCGATATTTCAATATTTTTGCACACCCCTCTACTCTTTATCACACGAAGACCACAGTTCTTTAGTTTAAGGTCATGGTTTAAGGTCAAGGGTATATTTCCTCTGTTATTTCTGGCCATTTTTGTTTTATAATTGAGTTGTTTTGTAAGTGTTGCTGTACTTACTGTTACGCAGATAAAAAGTGCGACCTACTCTGTGAAATCTACTCGGTAAAGTCTCCTCTGTGAAGTCTACTGTTTGAAATCTTTGTACGATTTGCTCTGTGTCAAGCTCAGCTAAATGTGCCTTTTCCGTTAAGCGATATGTGATTTTCGATTTGTGATTTGCGATTTGCCTTACTCTTATAATCTCCCCGAGGCCAAACAAAGCTTTGAGTTAAAGCCCACAAAGCTTTGAAGTTTAGCTTTGAGTTCCGGAGTTGCCATGGTAACAAGGCTTTATGGAACTTTACATGTATGATGTCATCGGCGCCGTGAACCTGATGGAACTAGGAGGTTTTCAGGTTCTAGAATGTGATGATGTCATACTCCCAGACGGGGCAAGAGCCACGTTTCCCTGTTGACTGAGGCCGAGTGTTGTTAAGAAGTCACTGATATGAGACAAACCTCGATACAGTGCGCTTTCGATTCGATACGGTTCAGTAAAAATAAAAGGCTAAATCATGGAAAATCTTTGTTAAACCACTTCTTGTGCAAAGTTCATATGAAACACAAACATTTTAATCCTCAAAACAGCGAAAATGTCAAACGAGTTTCCTTCCACTAAACAAACAACGAAACTGTAGCTGTAACAAAATCATTTAGTAAAATAAACCAAAAATACTCTTGGTGATATATCGATAGAGCAGCCCACAATATCGATACTGTGTCATCACATTAAACGATACGATATATCGATATTTCAATATTTTTTTGCACACCCCTCTACTCTTTATCACACTGTACTTTGCCACGAAATATCCAAAAGGTAAACGCACAAATGTTAAACCTGGTATTGAAATGATTAAAAAACACTGTTAGAACACAATGGCCACGTTCACATGATGTTTTTTAATTGTTCTGGATTAAATTGTTTGGACTTAAAATATTTTCCTTGGAGTTTACATGGAAATAATAATTCTGAATATCTGGGTTTCATGTGACATTACAGGGCGACGTTTGTCAGCGCGCAAAATCAGATGGAGGGCAAGAAGTGAACCGACTGGAGGGAAAAGCCGATGTGTTGTGCAGTTTACGGCTGTGCCAATTGTTCTAACCGAGAGAAGGAAAAGCGATTTTTTTAGAGTACCGAAGATAGTCGTCCACAAAGGTCAGAAATGGGAAAAGCTGACAGAACAACGCCATAAAAAGTGGATTACAAACTAGAGCCCGACCGATATGGATTTTGCTGTGGCCGATATGAAACCGATATAATGGGAGTTGGGGCTGCCGATAGCCGATATAATCACCGATATATTTAGTGATGTAAAAATTCACTGTAAATGTTGAATTGTTTAAAAAACTTAGGTTTGGCTCTGGTGGATTTTAAATTGGGTTTATTTAGGCAACATTTATTGTTATTCTGCCTCTTTACATCATATTTACAGACAGTAGGTTGGCTTAATGGCATTTTTGCATCACATTCTAGACACTAGTGATGGGTATTCCAGTTCTTTTTAGAGAACCGGCTCTTTTGGCTCGGCTCACTAAAAGCTGCTGGTTCTTTTGGCTCCCAAGTGGCTCTTCAGATTGTTTTGTTGCAAGCAGGACTGAATCAGGACTGAACCAGGTCTAAACCAGGACTGAAAAAGGACTAAACCGGGACTTATTTATTTTATGCTAAACTACAGTCAAATATGCTCGTTTTTTTATTTTTTTTATTTTCTTTAATCCTACGTACACGCAAATTTCTCAAAGTTTCGTTTTTAGCCGCTGCCGCTGTCAAACCACGAATCTGCACGCGGCGTGAAGAGAAAAAAAGTGAGAGAAAGAGAAAACACGGCTCCCAATAAGGATCAGGCTCCCGTCGTTCCCTTCAAAGAGCCGGTTCTAAGAGTCATTTCGTTCGCGACGGACCCATAACTAGTAAAGAAAGTAGCGCTATTAGCCTTTAGCCATAAATACGTGCGCGCCGCGGAAATTAATTATATGCGCAAATGTCATAATTCACACGTCTGTTCACAGCTCATTTACATATCAGTGCAGGTCCAGTAGCAAATATACGGCCAATATAGTCACTTTAGAACAGACCAATAGAAAACAGTCTGTTTAGGTGCGGGAGCTACAGCAGCTAACCCATAACAAATGACAAAAACTAGCTTCAGAGTCGACATATTTCCAACACTCACCGCTCATACAGGCTCCTCCTCACATCACAATTCTGCACTAATAAATGTCCTTTTAATCCAGACTCAAACCGATTGTCCGTAAAAAGAATATAATCTCAGTGTTTGGATCTGTCTGCAGGTGTAAACAAACACATGTGAGAGGACTCTGTGGTGTGTTCAGGGACAGTACAGACACACACAGACAAATGACTCCGTAGATAAATACTGATGTGGAGCCACATATTAGGACATTTATCTGTCTGTAAATTGGATTAAATGAACAGAATGTAGAGAGTCTAAGCCAGGGGTCTCAGACTCGCGGCCCGGGGGCCAACTGCGGCCCGCGGAAGGATTTTTTGCGGCCCTCCACTTGATTCCAAAGAATAATGTCAGTGCGGCCCGCGGTAGATGTACACACAATCCCACCCCTCTGCCGCGGGCCGCACTGACAGATGAAGCTGCAGTCGGTGCCCATGCAGATTCACAACAGATTATTAACGCAGTTTACATCCCAAAACTCAATTTACAGCAGTTGTGAAGCAACAAGTCTAAGTGGATCTGTTAATACAAGTACACGTGCACATACGGCGTCACCGAAGAACCAAAACAAACCACACATGGTGGTACACGTGTGCGCACTTCACTTTACGCTCCCACAACCACAGTATCAGAGCGCAGAGGAGGCGCTGACAGAATTCCCCTGTTCATAAGTATGGGACCTTTATTGGAGGGGCTAATAAGAAATAAAAAGACTTTGACAGTCTGTTTACCTGTTCAACACTCGGTGCGTAACTTGCTGGCAACTCGATGACCAAGCTCCACATATGTGTCGCCGAAATCCACGCGCACTCAGCGGCAAACACAGCTGTCCCATCAATATGCAAGCACCACAAAACTGCACTGATCTATTCCAGAGGCTTGGCGACACGTTAGCAAGAAGTACGAGGCAAAAACAAGCGTCTTCCATCCATGTTTGACATACGAGAAGCGGATACACTCCAGTGTGGCGCTTTCACACCGGCAAACGAACCAAAACTGGTCCGATTAACGAGCCTCTGTATCCCGGTAGAACAGTGATATCTCCAGTAACTAATACTGATGTTCCCTGTTAATACCGCGGGCGTCCTCATCTCAAATTATCACCATGAACTCATAAAACAGCAACGTAGAACTTTGTACAAACTCACCGCATCAGTCCTGAGTTCGGGTAACAGCAGTCGTCCTACAAGCGCGTTGGTCAGATGGTCCGGAGGCTCCATCCTCCATGTGCTGGTTCCAGACGGTGGCGAGCAAGACCAGTGCGCAATGACTGGGTCTGAGCGGGTACGTTCCGCCGTCTGCGCGCTGGTTCCGTGTTCCGTACGGGGAAAGTGAGAATGCGCTGTGGACTACACCTACAGGTCTGTGCTGCTCCTGTCCTCCGCGCTCAAGAACCGCGGCTGGTTCCGAGGTGCTGCAAAGCATCCGGACAGAACGTGAATCCAGTTTAGTTGGTGTCCGCATTTGGTTCTTCCCGGGAAAAGCGCTTTTCACTCCCCGCTCCACGTCATCTGAGCCCGGACAGAACCGGAGCTGCTCCTGCTGGTTCGGGACTCTGGTTTGGATCTAGTCCGACTGTATTTCTCACACTAGGCTAAAAGCAGGACATTTTTTAAAGGTGAATCAATTGAATGGGCGATTGCCTATTGCCATAAAATTATTTGGTTAATTAAAGCCTAAAATAACAAATGCTGGTTCCTACATGATCACGGGGAACACGGGGACCTCTGTGCAGGTCCAGAACAGAAGTACACTCCCCCATTTTTGACTCACTCTGGAGCCACACGTTCGCACGTTCTTGCTCTGATCTTTGTGTGTTACATTCTCTGTATTGGCCATTGTTGGTAAAATATTTCGAAAATGAATCGCGGCTGCGTCTGGAAAACAATCTGTTATTGCGCTGGAGTCGTACAGCGCGTCATTACAGGCAGGAGACGCGTTTCTCCCATGATGCATCTAGAATAGTTCCTTTGGACCTGCTGTGTATGGTTTGGACCCGGGTTCGCGTTCACACCAGAAGAACACACGCACCAAATGACCAACTTTGGTGCGGATTCAAGCGAAACGAGACCACCTCTTTTTTTAGGTCTCGGTCCACTTGAGTTGGTCCGGGTCAGAGTCTGATTGACGCTTTCACACCAACGCAAACGACCTGAGCTAACCACTTCTGGTTCGAATGGATCGTTTGGTGCGCACCAAATACTGTCGGTGTGAAAGCACCTAATACAGGTCAAGGCTCACTGATGAGCATCTTCAATCTATCCTGAGGATCTCATACGCTTCCTCCTGCAAGCCAAATATCTCTCAGCTGTACAAGATGAATCGTTGCCAGGTTTCAACCAGCAAGAAGTAGGCAAAAGAAGAAGAGTAGACGTATCAGTTTAAACTTATGTTCTGAATACATTTTCATGTTCTGAACTGTTATTAAAGATTAAGAAAGTGTGTTGCGTGTTGTTCTGTCTCTCTCCTTTTTTCCCGTGCAGCCGCTATTTATCGAATACTCAATGCGGCCCAGCCTCACTCAGACTTTATCTAATGTGGCCCCCAGGTAATTTGAGTTTGAGACCCCTGGTCTAAGCTTTATAACGAGGTATAACATGCCCATGTGAAATATCGGCCCCTATCAGCAAGCATATCGGCCGATAGCCGATATGCCTAAAGTTGCCCATATCAGCCGATAATATCGGCCAACCGATATATCGGTCGGGCTCTATTACAAACCTACGTTTGCGGTCGGGAGGAGCAGAATCCGCAAATGCTCGTGTCTGCAGTGAACACTTCGTCAAAGGTTTGTTACAAAGCTAAATTGTTGTTTGTGGTTTACCTAAACATAAATGAATCATTAATGACTAACGATGTTTGTTGACATTAAATAGTTCGGATAGATCGGTTACTGCCGATACACTGGGGTCCGGTCAAGCGGTAACGGAGGGAAACGGG